GTCTATTGGTGGGGAGCGTCACATGCTGGAAAGCGGGTCCAGCGTCCCTTTACTGAATGAATAGATAATGAATACAGATTGAGTACATACTGGAAATTGACTGTCAAACCTCCGGCTTGTACACTAAGTCTTCTCAAATGGAAAGCTAATTCGGTCTCTAAAGCTTGATTCAGCGAAATGGGAATGGTGTGACGAACTGTTTCCTGCAGCTGCGCGATTTTCTGCGCAAAGACAGAAACAGAGGGAGAAGAGAGTGAGGTGCAGCGCCAGAAACAGCAGGAAGAGCTAGAGGGGGTGATGGAACGACAGGAAGAACTGAAAGAGTTAGAAGTCGTGGCAACTGGGCCTCAGACTGGCCACTCCATGGGTCCCTAGATTGGCAAATCGCACTCTCAAGGGGCCGCGCACCCATGGGTCTGACGCTACAGGGATGGAGAGGCCCGAATCCACAAAGGCTGACCCGCCACATGCTCAGGAACCACATTATCCAGCAAGGGGACCAGGGAGCCATTGGAACAGTCTTTCCGCAGGAGCTCCCGTTCCCCAAAAACGTAACACCCATCTTCGTGCTCTTCGGGCAAAACCAACAGCTAGAAGGACACGATAACCATTTTAACTGGCTGACCCAGCAGCAGCTGCTGCAGCTGCTGGACACCCTGATCTCACGAATGCGTACAAATAATGCGTGGGGTGCCGAAAATCAAGTGTTTTTCCTCCAATGTCTGCTGGAAGACGAAACGTTGGACGTCAGCAGAACATGGGATGACCCTCCATTCATGGCCAGCATCTCCGCGGGACCACCTGGGAACGAATAGACGGGTCAAACGACCAACAACCAATGTCACAGATTCAGCAAAACATAATGATGATTGACCATCGTAGGGGGAGACACGAGGACACGCCTCCAGAAGGGAACGATAACGACCACCACCATGATGCAGCTGATCCGGTGGACCCGGTCTGCCCGAGTCCCCCTCGCCCCCCCCCCCCACCTCCGATACCAGCCGGCATGGGCACAAAAACTTGGTGAAGCTGACTTGGACATTCGGTCAACCGCATGCTGCTCCAACTGGAGGAATGGGACCAGAACCTCATGGACAATCCCTTGGATCTGCCAACGTACGAGGCCCTACAAAGAGCAAGGGCCCAGATACAAGATCACCTCGATAACCAAGCCCAAAAATGGAGGATCCAAGCGGGAAAAAAAAAAAAAAAAACGCATCGGAAGGCATGATGACCAAGACTTTTTTCAACAAAGCAAAGGCAAGGGCAAGACAAAATGTGGTGCCATCCTTAAGACACCCTTTTGATGACACGCAACCRAAGGCGACAAATGCCTATCAARTAGTYGATTACGCCTCGACCTACTATACTCACTTGTTTACGTCGGAGACTGGCCAAAGACAACCCCAGGCCTTGGAAGAGGCGAGAGAGACACTTCTACATGCCCTCCCCTCCTTGCTCTCAACACAACAAAGACACACCTTGGACAGCCCACTCACCTCAACAGAACTCCTACAGGCACTGCAAGACATGGACGATGAAAAAACACCGGGCCTAGACGCCTTCCCCAAAGAATTCTGGCTTCACTTCTGGGAAACATTGAGGGAGGACTTCCGGGGGTATGTAAATGTTGTGTTTCATGAGGAGACGTTTGGGGAGATGATGGGCCAAGGGGTCACCACTCTGCTATATAAAAAGGGTGACAGAGAGGAGATAAGGAACTACCGCCCGATAACCCTGTTGCCAGTCCCCGACAAAATAGTAGCTAAAGCGTGGGCGAATAGGCTACTGCCGACCTTGCCACATGTGTTACATCCGGACCAGTCAGGCTTCATGCCCAACAGAAACATACAGGACAACATCCTGCTGGTCAATAAGACCATCCGATATGCGCGCCAAAGGAAAGTCGACGCTGCCATACTTTTCATCGATTTTGAAAAAGCGTATGACCACGTCGACTGGAAGTTTCTTTAACTATGTCTAAAAAAAATGCAGTTCGGGCCGCGCTTTTGCAAATGGGTTAG